ATTACAGCTAATTGTTCTATGCTGAATAGATTTAGTCACATTGCAAATGATATGCCATTGGTCAGTGTCACAATGTTTCCACAGAAAACTCAATGGGGAATGGAAATTTGCACAAATGAATGTAATTAAGAAGCACATTCATTACTTCTAATTGCATATGAGAACCCTCAAAGTGAAACTGAGATTGGACTCATATGAATAATTAATGCAGCTAACTGTACTGAACACTATGGCGTTTGTACCATCACATAATGATGTGCTAAACGTGTTGGTATGAATGACAAAATGTGTTGTAACAATCTTGCACCAAGGCTTAGTCGTAGAGCTCCAATCACAATTCCAATCCAACTTTTTTTTTCCCCCTTCTGCTTCCTCATGAAATCCCTTCATTCATGGGCAGATTGTGTCTAGACAGTTGAATTCCAGGCTTGGTGTGAGCTTGGCATTGGCCCCTAGACATACAGAGTAGAGTTTAAGGTTTCAGAAGAAAAAAAAAAAGTGGTCACAGTGTGTTAGGCACGCAGAATCAAGTCAAGTGGCCCTTTCCAAAGACGAGTTGTTAATCAGTCAACTGGAAACTACTCGGAAGGCTGTTATGAAAATTTAGAAGTACAGAAATGAAAGAGTAGAGAACGTAACCCCTGCAAAGTATGAACTCAGCGATCCTTTAATCAGATTATTTGTCTACTGGCATCAGGAACTATCTAATGTGCTATAAAAGCCTTGGACACAACATTGCAGAAAATTATAGAAAAATGTATATCAAACAAAATCATTGATTGAATTGTGTTATTTGATGAAGTAATTCCTTTTAGTGAAAAGTCTGCAGTTTTATAATACCTTAAGCAGAACATTTAAAACTATAATCTTATTATACTTGCAGTGTTTAAAAAGGATTGGCTTATCTTAATAGCAGATTTAGATCTTAGACAGACAAGGTGTAAGCTGGTCATTTGAAAGCCATATGCCACAGATTAAGATACGGCACTATACTGTACAGCTTTTCCCTGCTTCTTCTCCCAGAGCCTAATGCACTACATCAAAACTGCCTTTAGTGAGCTGCTTGTCAGTGGGCAAAAGCGCAAGCCCTTAAATCCCTCTACTCCACCAACAGGAGAAAGAAATAAGTATATTACAGAATGCCAAGAGAACAAAAAAATTGTGTATTGTTTGAAAAATGTGAAGGATTTAAACGCAGGGATTTGCTCCCACTTTGCTGCACTTTGTCTGAGGGCTTAGCACCATTTGTTGTTCGTGACATGATGATTCCCATCATTCAGCCGAAGCATTTCAGGACATTATTGAGCCAACATCAACTCTACAGCACCGAATTATTAAGTCGGTAAAAGTAAGAAATACAGGATTGTATTGTTTGATGTCTTACAAGCACAGTCACATCACTCAGAACAAGGCCAATGGTCGATAGTATTCAAAAAAACACAAACAACAAAATCCACGGGATACAAAGTCTGAGCCAAGATGGGTCAGGAAGAACATTTTCATCAACTGGATGCTTTTAGTTTCGCGTGTAAGACAGTGCTCTTAGTGATTTCAGGACAAGCTGGATGCCTGGAAGGTGAACCTGTGCAAAGCTGTGCTGAAAGCATTGCAGCACTGAGTCACTATATGAGAGGATGTCAGCTGTAACAGTGGCCAACATCCTTCTTATGCAAGGAAAGAGATGCATCGTATATCATTATGCATTCCTGTTTTTTGATGTTTTGATGAAGTGTCGCTATATGGCCAAAAGGGACAGGTACGATTCATCACGCCTAATTGTTCCGGATGTGTCGTTCTGTACTCACTGGCTGTCAGATGTATGGGGGTTGGACCTAAAAAACACACATGCTGATGATATTAATCCGTCGCTTTTATCTTTTTGTCGAGACAGAGAGGGAATTATCAAAACCTTTGGAACAATGTGTGACAAAAGGAGGTGACAGCAGATGAGTGATGGAGGGGCGGTGAAGTAAGCCTGGCGGGGGGAAGCATGAGCCCATAAAACGAACAGCCGCCTAACTCATAAATAATAGAAACATAAAATGTCATATGAACTTTATTTCAAGAGTGGGTGGTCTAATAAAGATGCAGGTTTAAAGAGGAGTCGAGAAATTCATTGTCATAAGAAGGCCACATGGCTCGCCTTTGGCACTGACAATTATTCAGAGCAAGCTGACATTCAGGTCCAAGCTGTGGCACCTTTACGAAACAACACGCCGTTTGACTCCTGAAATTCTCTTCCTACTGCAGCTCGAGTCTTTCAATCTCCAAGCTTTATTTTTTCCTCTTCAACTTGGAGTCAATCCTTCTCTCCTCTCCCCTCTCCCCTCTCTTTCCACTTTTCCTTGTTCTCTCTGCTTTACAAATTGAGACGACACGATAAGAGACTTGCCACCGCCATGCCAGCCTGGTGCTCATTGATAAAACCATATCTAATCCATCTGAGGCCCCCCTCTGTCGCCGGCGCACTCATCTCTGAGACGGTCAACATGCACAGGATCCATCTTTCTGTTTGAAGCCAGCAGCACAGAGTCAGAGTTTATCTTTAAACTTCTGGAAAGGAGAAAATGGAGCCGGATGAGTCGGGCGACTTTCACTTTGTCTGCAACTGATGTGAGATGTGCTAGCGTGTGTTAATCGGTAACATCTAAATGCAAATGAAAGAACTTAGGGAAAATATGGTTTAAAAACTGTAATGACTTAGATTTTTTACGCACATTGCATATGGTCTTCATACTGTGGTAGAGGCAAAAAACAAATATCTTCTAGCTGGATAGTTCTACATATATTTCACAGGAAACTGTATTTGACATAGAATTAATCAGATGATTTCAGCCTTGGTGATGACATAACTCTCGAATATAACCAAGTCCTGGCTGCTTTCACCCTTTTTTACAGCTGCAAGACTGACATTGACTTTAATATCATTTGGTGTGATAAGGTTACAACAGAGCATTACATGAGCTTTGTGGTCAAATAACTGAAATGGCTTTTTTATTATCCAACTACTCATATTAGACACAGATATTACACTCTGAGTTATTCTCCCAACACTCTGGCTCTGCTGTGATTTTTAATGCAGCAATTTGTAAAAGTACACATGCATTTACTACATTAGCATGGCCCTGTATCTAAAACTAATGCACTTCAACAAATATTACCCCAGAGGGAAAGTGGGTAATAAGTTCAGTATTTGAGTAAGTTTATGAAGTATGAGATGTTTATGTCACTGAATATTAATGAGATGATGAGCAATTGCCTCTGTGTGTGAATGAATCACATAAATGAATCACAGCTGTCATAGCGGTGAATACATTAAAGCGACTAGCTGGGAAAGAAGGAGAGGTTTGATCGTTAGATGTATGCGTTTGTGTTTTTACACGTGTGGTGTGTTAATGTGTGTTTGTGTGAGTGTGATGGAATAAAGAGGTCAGCTAGGTGTGTAAAAAAAAAAGAAAAAAAAAAAAGGCTATCGTAGAAAAAATCTCATGCAACTCGCAATATCTTGTTATCAAAAATAGAAAATCAGGAATGGGACGGGCTTTTGCATGTAAATGAACACATGGAGCCATTGCCGGGATGTCACCCATCCTGTTCAATGTCTAACAAATGCATTCACAATCACACTCACAGTGACACCCTGGCCCCGGACCTGTCAGCACAGCTGTGGGGAGGCAGAAGCACCAATGACTGTTGTCTCACTTACAGCTATGACACAATAGCTATACTGCACGTAGGGGTATGCAAAGGATTCTATTTCTACCTGTCCTGTACATTTTCAGTGCTGGGTAGGGGGGGGAGGGGAAATACTTGTATTTGTTGACAGCTAACTCTGTGCAATGGCTAAGGAATTACACACACACACACACACACACACACACACACACACACACACACACACACACACACACACACACACACAGGCCATGGAAGGAGTGAAGGTCTGCAGTAACCTGAACCTCGATCCAGCCTGCAATATACAAGGCAGGGTTACCTCCTGAAAAATAAAATCTGATTCAAGGGGGCGAGAATATCCAGTGTGAAGTGTGTGTGTGTGTGTGTGTGTGTGGGGGGGGTGTTGGTATGTGACAAGGACACAGTGATAGGGGCTCACAACAGCCTTGTTCATGTTAAGGTGGAGCAAAATCATTTCACCAGCATCATTGGCATGCTGCTGATGCACCGGCTTTGAATCTTCACTACCAGTTGAGGGAGAAAAAAAAAAATATACCAGTGGTCCTTGGTGGTGTGTCTTAAGCACTCTTCTTTTCCCCCTCAGCCAGTTATTTGAGCAATGATTTCAAAATAAAAAAATCTGTTGTATATGTATGAGGACGGGGTTGTGCATCCCTGCGTTCAGTGGAGCTTTTTATGGACAACAACATTGGGCAGTAAGCCATGCAGTGACAGCTGTCTTGTGAATCATTTGAATAAATTCAGCAACAGAGTTTCAAACTTCAAAGGTAAAAAATCCCATGTGGTTGTAGAGCTTCTGGACAACATTTACAAAATTCTGCCTTACAAAATCCATTGTCAATAATGAATGCAGCTCTGCGCAAGTGACGCCTTAAATATAAATTTGCAATCCTTAATCCAAATCCAATACATTTTGGATGTCTAATAAGACTTGAATCTGATAAATGATAGAAGGAGCAGGGGTGTCGTTCCCTCCCAGCAGTGCTTGGGTGACTTCTGGTGTTGTTGTGCTTGTTTAAAGAATGACCTTATCAAAAATAGCATTTTTAGCAAAATAATTTGTATGAGTAGCTAGCTTGTAACCAGTTATTAGACATAAATGGTCTCTTGTTAAGTGTTTGCCAGGCTGCGTTGTTACTATGACAATCACAGCTCTCAGTACATTTTTTCACTGTCTGGCAACACAGATGGCCACTTGTAAATTTCAAAGACAGCCTAAGAAAACAGAGAAAATAAGACAAATGAAAAATATGAACAACTTTTGCCTGCTGCAGCAGCAGAACAAAAATAACATGAACACTCACTAGATTCTGGGTCTGAGTTTCCATCTCCCTCCGTGCGGCTGTTGGGTGATGTTTGCTCGTAGTACTCATCCTGGTGGAAGCTGAGGGGGAGAGGCTGAGCGTTGCTGGCCGTGCTGCTGGGCTCGGGATCTCCAAGCCCGCTGTCACTGCAGCTCTCCTGGGAACCGTCGGGAAGATGGAAGGTCACACGACGCTGGGTCTGAAACACACAACAACAAAAAAGGGGGGTTGGTAAGAAACTGTCGCCCTATTTCTGAGGCCATAAAAGAAAGAAAAAAACACATTACATCATGAGTCTGACAATCACGGCAGTAGAGAAAGGTGGCCGAAATATTGGTAGAATTTGCTTCCCTATAGTATTTAGTTACTCTGACCCTTGCTGATTTTTTGTTATTTCACTGTTGAATGAAATCTTTTTCATTTTTAAAATCCCCAAAAAAATGGAGCTCAATGGAATCAGAAGGTGCTCAAGGCATTGAGAAATGAGTTTCTCTATTGAAACTCTATTGATTGATTCCTGAAAGAAACATTGTCCAGAGCTTCTGAATATCAACATGACTCAATGACACCAGCCTTTATATGGGCTTTTCTTAAAGTATAAAGCAGAGTACTTTCACAGTTTGGTCTGTACAGAAGAGCAAGGACAAATCCCATTGTTGACGACTTAAAAAAAAAAAAAAAGTTATATTTCAGTGCTCTGAGCAACACAATCTGAACGCCTTTCACCTGCACTGTATTGAGGTGAAGACAGGAATCTAAAAGATGGATATCTCCAAACCAGAGCACAGAAAACCACAACTATATCTGTAGATTTATCACTACAGCTATGAGAGAAAATAAGCCTTTCTACGTTTTTGTTTGTCTTTATTTTGCTGTAGATCTAATCTTCAATTTAAAGTTTGAAGGGTCAGAACTTGAGAAGATGCTTCCTTCTGTTTAACGACTCACTAAAGCTTTTTACAAGGTTAGTCATACGACCTCATTTACCGCTTGGATTAACCTTTATGGTATTGTCTTATCAAAACACTGACTCATTTGTGACTAACCAAAATTGTATATATTTAAAGTCCCCTCCTTACATAGCCTCTCCTTCCAGGGATGTAAGCCATTAAGGATCTTTTATAGGTATTCTCTCTGCCCCTAAAGAGCGCCTTGGCACACCACCGCTGACAAACAAAGATTATTAATATCATCATCAGCGGTGACAACGATGCTCGTTTATGGCTAAACGAGTACATCGAGACGGCATTTACGAGGGAAATCATCGCCTAATTGTACCAAGTGTTGTTGTTACATGGCCCAGCACTGCATCCATCATCTTTACCTGCTGTAACTTTTTAAAAAAATATGCCAACATTGTGTCCTATCACAGAGGGGGAGACTAATTGAAACAGTGACCTCATAACCCAAAAAATATTTCTGGTCTGTTGAGCATTGTAAATTACTTTTCAGATACTTAAGTGACTGTAAGATCTATAATTGAGAGTTGGTCTGATATGAGATGGGATGTGTATTAGCAGGTTGAGAAACGTCCTAGTTTCCCCTCTCGACCAATTTATGAACAGAAGAGGTGGAGATGAGTGTGCAGGCTTGGACTTTGATTTGTAAAGTCTTGGGGATCACAGGAATGAAGGCTTTTGCGTCTGAAAGGTTCAGGCCTCTCTGATTTCTCTAGTGGTCTGCACAAGTTCATGTTGGGACCATTCCTAGAGCTTAAAAACAGAAAAAAAAACTCTAAATATGGTGGAGTCTGCTTTTATGTCCTCCAGAAAACAAACCATATTCAGAATCATTCATTTTGTGAGGCATGCTGGGTAATCTATGGGCACCACTGATTTCTTTCCCCCATATTTTTCTTGGCAATGGACAGAAAGAAAATATGGCAACTGCAGAGACCCGACTAAAGCTTGAATTCATGTCTTCCCATGATTCCCTGAGTAACATCACACAGTATAGGGGCATAAAACGCATAAAAAATAATTACGCCCTCAGCTTGGGTTATTGCTGTGAATTTTATTCTCCCCATTATTCAAACTGATAAGAGATTTTAATTTTTTTCCAGAGCAAATACAACCCGAGCACAAATCACTATCTTGATCTCCTTCCGCACTAAAGCAATAAAAGCAATAAACAAGTCCTGAATTAAAAACCTCATTAGCACATGTTCCTTTAAGCTCAGGAGGAGGAGATGTCTCTGTGCGAACACATTTTCTCCGTCGCCACTAAAGTGCGCAGATAAAGCACTTATTGCTCTTTGATAAGACTAAATAAGGCGTGGAAATAGGAGAGAGGAGAAAGGACAGACATCCGAGAAAAAAAAAAACAAGTGCACAAAAAAAAAAAAACTTCATTTAAAAACTATCAGAGAGGGTTGACTAACCTAAATCCACAAAATTAGCACCCTGAAAGCACAACCGAGTGCTTTTCCAATGCTGTGATGTTGAAACAGCAAGCTAAATATTCTATTTACTCCATTCATCTAGATCCTGAGGCCACACATTGCTCCTCGTGTGAGTATGCTGGAAAGAAAATGAGCAGAAAAGAGTGGGAAAAAGGGCATGCAGCCACAGAAACAAACAGAAAAACACACACAACCTTCAACTCCTGTGCGAGATAACTCCAAAACAAAAGATTTATGTTGCTCTATTGAGTAAAGGAAAGCTTGCTCTGCCCTTCTGCACTGCTTTATTTCTTAAACCACAGGAAGATATGCATACGACGTACAGCTCCTTAAAATAATCCTGTTTTTAATGCACGTGTTGGGACATCTGCTGCCAAATGTTTAGGTATATTTCTTAAGTTCTGTATACAAAAGACTATTTTCTACCAGTCCTTGTGCGGTTTTATTCATTTTCAAAGACACTGAGGAGACAAATACCTTGTTGGCAAAGTAACATAGTCATGTGTGCCATGTTTGCCCACGCTTTCAAGTCGTCTTAATATCTACTTGTTCTCAAACAGCTTTGGCAGCTGTTTCTCAAATTACTGGAGGATGTGCGCAAAAAAAAAAACAAAGTCCAGGTTCCAGCAAAAGAAAGAGCCCATTTACCCAAGGTTGGCAGCTCGACAAGAAAGCATGCTTCCTCTCCACATGACTCTAATTATTGGAAACTTGCTCCAGCAATGGCATCCAGGATCTATTAGAACAAACAGCTGTCCGTGACAATTAGGGTGCTATCATTTTGCATAAAGGAGTGTCTTCATTTTTTGAAGGCTGTTTACTTAAACCAATTCAAGTTGCTGCCAGATGCTGAGAAAAGCGTACGTTGTTTACCACAATACTAATTACAATTAAATTCCGTTAATAGGTCTTAAATAAATTTTTTGCTCTCAGTGGTAATGTGAATTAATATTAATGTTGGAAGACAAACATGACAAACAAAAGCAAACATTCGCACAGGAGTCAAGGTGAGTGTTTTGCTAAGCATTATCACTTATTTAAAGAAGCTGCCAGAAATCCATAAAGCAAAGACAAGCTGCGGTAAGAGATATCAAGACCAAACAAAGCCCGTTCAGCCAGATAAAACACTGCCTTGAGAAGTATGTACACAGAGATAAAATGAACAGGAGCGACGCATGCCAAGTTCTGCCTTGTAACAAGCCGGCCAATCCTTAAAACCCTCCCTCTGGTAACCAAACAGACAATGGGCAGATTGGGCCGGATTCACGGGTTACAGGATTAGAAGTCCGTTATATTTAGACATAGAGGAGGGAAGTGCAAAGCGACTGCCACCTTGTCCTTCTGCGGGCCACAGCTCTCTGAGTTTTATTATCACATGTACTTTCTTCCCCAGCTGCCGTTCTCTAGGTACAGCAGAGAACTCAGTGCTGCACAGAGAAGGACTTGGCTGACAACCACCTCACTTTGAGTGATAAACAGGGACCACTTAGGAGTGAATCAGGGGAGATTGGCTCTGCCATTTCAGATAAGGATCAGCTTGCGGGCACACCTAGACCTGCATAAATCTGCTCAGAGGAGATGGTGGTTTGTCATTTTGCACATGTCTCATGTGGAGGGGGAAAAGTAAATTGAAAAATAAAAAACAACAACAGCAGCGATGGCAAGGTATTTAACCAGAAAACACTGTCCCACATGTTCCAATATTCAGCTTCATGTCAAGACCATGCAAAGTCCAATATAAGCTATAAATGCTTTCTGTCTGCGGTTGTGCCCTTCTCTTTCTGAACATGCTGTTCCAGCGTTGACTATTATGTGTGAGGTGAGATGTCACTACATGTGAAATGATGAGTTAGCAAGAACATGCAAAAAGGAGCTGATTCTAGCAAGAAGGGAGATTACTGGGTGATTTTTGACAAATCAAATGCCCTTTTTTGCAATTTTGCCTGTTATTGAGTCATTTGCAATAAAGACTGTCCGTGCAACATGTACTGTGACCTAAATATGATGTTCTCCTCAGTCCCAGCAAAGATGACACAGAATACTGATCAGATATTTTAGGACTCAGCAATAAGATGGCTTGGATATGTCAAGAAAATAGATATATCTGCATGTGATAATATTACAAATAATTGAACATTTTAGCTAAAAAAAAAAGGAATAATAAAAAATATTCAACTAAAGTTATTGTAAGCTCACAGCACTTTACAGGAGCAACATTGTCCGCTGTAACTAAAAAAGTTTTACTAGCTAGTTATCGTGCAAGAGGAGCTCTGATTTCTTTCTCTTATTAGGCAAAGGTTATTGAACTATGCACGCCTGTGTGCAGTCATGAACTCAAGGGTGAACAGAAAAGAGAGGGTACAGTGGTCAGAGTCCACAAAACAATTGTATTTAAGGTTATTGTTGTCTTTAATAGGAAGTGTGAAATGCCCTTGAGCTTAAATATTTTGCTTAAATTGGCAGCAATACAGACCATTGAAGTAAAGGCTTTTTCATTTCACTCAGTAAACTTTACTGTACAGCTGCCTTCGCTGAAGAAAATAAATCATTTAAAAGGATGGGAAGAGGCTTACAGCCGGATGTTAATGGAAAAATATTAAGTCTGAGAACACATTTGTGCTTTTCCAATAAAATACTAATTTTGAAGCCTAATAAAAAAAGAGGAAAAAAAACCTAAAGTCTAAAGTGTTTGTTCATATTCATTTCTTGCAGAAAGGTATGTAAATGAACAGCTTAATCATTCACAAAGTGATTAGATTGATTATAGATGTTGGATCAAAAAATCTTGTTTTTTCTGTTCAAAGCTTTCATTGATTATTTTTATTTTCAATAAATTTAAATCTGCTAAGGATGTGGTGAGGTTGAAGCTGAGTTCTATACGTTGTAGATGGTTAAGGTTCCATCTGAGCAAACAGAACTGCTAAAAGTGTTAATAAATGTCCATTTTCAATAATATCAGGTGATGTTGGTAGATTGCCATGGCTTTGGGTTCCATGTTCCTATTTCAATTGTTGAGGTATTTTTATACACAAGTATTTACTTTAATCTTCTGTGGAGCTGCAGGACAGAGGTGAACAAGACATTTTCCAAATCTCAACATCTGACCCACTCTAAGTTCAAACTTAAGCCCTTACACTTTGGTTTGAAGGTTTCGTATGGCAACAAGAGTTCATATATTTCTGGCAAGAAAGATTCTCTGGTATGTATTGTGGGTGTAAAGTTAAACAAAGTAGAAGAGGACAAAAGTCTGAACAGTGTCATGCTCTAATAAGGCTTATGGAAATGCACATGCAAGAAGAACATTAAAAGAGTGACTTACATTCACAGAGGTTATCTTGCTAAGTTGACAGGCCTCCTGCAAAGACAGAAGAACAGCAGTTTGACATCATTGTCTGACTCTGGCTCTACAGATGATATACTGCAGAGATGATTATTTGAAGCCTACAAAGAAAACTACACTGGGAACTTTCTATTCTTCTCAAAGTCAGTCAGAGTTCACAATTGACAACCTCAAAGATTTTTACGGATTAAAGTCTATTTTTCTTTTTTTTTCAAATCTGAATTGAATTTTGGAAACATATTGATTTCTTCCCCGGTTGCAGAGTTTGAACAGCATATTTCCGTGCTCAGCTGGCACAGCAACAAAAAGGGGTTGCAGAGTACACACACCCATTCCCCAGAAATGTAAAGAATAGGGCAAACCTGACACCCTGACAACACAAGATATACAACTGACACTTTGATAAAGACGTTTTCTCCACATGTCAGGGAGGACAGTGAACAGAATATCAAATGATGCATCAAAAATTAACAATAAACAGCGACAAGCTTCTAAATTGGGAACAAAAGACACCCGCAAGCCTGCAAAATAGCATCCTCTCTCTGGGGACCGAGATAACTCACAGAGAGATAAGAGTATTTAATTTTTAATCACCAATTTTGTTTTCTTTGTACTGTGTATAATAATCTGAGTACATGACTTGATTTGCAAAGAAAATAGAAGAAATCTGCTGGTGAGGAGGCACTTAGACAGGGGGAGAAGAAGAGAGGACTGCTGGGGTGGAACGGTAAAACAATGAACAGGAAACAAGTTCATGTCAACAGATTATCCTGCCATAATTGTTCACCAAGGGATGCTGCTACTGAGAGAGCGATAGAGCAGCGCAGCCAAAGCTATTCATCAAAAACAAAATGGAGCTTCATGGTGGACAACTAGACTGAATTAAAAAGAAAGGGCTCCAAACTTCTGACAAATCACTGTCTAGAACATAAAAACGTAGCTACAGTGATCATCGTTTGTGTAGAGAGATTCATGTTTAAGACATTTTCAATGAAATCACTTGTCATCCGGGTACCAGAAAGCATCTACCGTAGCTGCTCAAGCTGAAACAACGCATTCTGCCTTGATTTTCAAATCAGTCATGTTTTCTGTGAACATTAACAAAATGTTTCCATTTGGTCACAACTTCAAATATGTCAGGTAAAAGAAAACTGTTCAAATCGATGTAACATGCCAGCCGTAAGCTTTGCTTAGAGATTTTTTTTTAAATGTGGTTTCTCATTTGGGTATGACATAGGTACAATGATTTAACGTCCCACTTCAAAGTTGCTACATTGGCAGACTCAACTAAAAGGTGACATCATTTCTGAAACTACTATTTTTTGCCAAACACAGGTGTGTACAGCTTCTGTGCTTGTTTTAGAAGCTATAATAGATAATTCTGTTAAATCTACAAAGGATTCTCAATTATTTTAAATCTCTATTTCCATTACTTTTCCATTAGCAGTGCCAGTTGTTTTCATTGATCTAAACTCAACAAGTTAACACAAGCAGACGAGTAAAGCACTTGCTGGTGTAGATAGTGAAGCATTTAGCAGCAAAAGAAACAGACACTTCCGCAAGAGTTGGTGGAGACCAAAACTGAGCCAAATGATAAACACTACACAAACAGTCGTCGATTAGACAGACATTAGAAATGACAACTACACTTCCAAATTGGCTACTGTTTGCTGGCATGTTAACATTACACAAATGCCTATATGGGGAGAAAATGACCAAATATGTTATCGATGTTGTGCTTGATGCTTTTTTTGATACCAATAACTTGAAAAAAACGACATACAATTTAAACATTTTGGATTTCTGAAAAGGCAAAAGATAACTTAAAGACAATATGAAGACATTCTGTGGGTATGTAGGAATTTACAGCTGTTTAAAACTGATCTTAGTCAAACAGTGCTGCTATAATACCCCTGCCAACATCTGGTAAAAACATTTTAAAATAGTACAACAAATATATCCTTAAAGCCAATATACCCTACTAAATAATCATAGCAATTCAACAGATTTCAAACTATTCACAAACACATTAGTTTAAAATAGATTGCTACATACAGTGTATACTTTATGCTGTCCAGATAGTTTCCATTTAATATGGATATACATAATACATGACTCCTCTGCACATGAACATGTAGGTCATGTCTGAATGGATTTTTTTGGAACTTGTCATAGGCTCGTAATTATACTTCATGCTGTATTGTCATTACATCTACACCAGGAAGACATTATAGTGTTTACTTATGTAGCACTAACCCCAAGAAATTAATTGGTAAGGATGTTGAGATGGCCAATATTTCTGCCAAAGCACATTTATTTTTTAAATTAAAGTCATTAAAAATAGATAGCTTCCTTTTTTTCTTAATTTTTTGCATATTCTAGCACACCAACATTTGTCAGGTCTGTTTGAGGAGTAACTCATTTGCATCCACTGACTGGTCATTTAAAGCTGAATTTGACTTGAGGCTGCCATCAGGCAGTTGTTTCTTCTCTAAGTAATGTTTTATTCAACATCTCGTGACACATGCTTCAAGTTAGAGACCTTGCCTACCAATTAAATATATGATAATGTACATGAGGGATCTGAGAAGGTGACCCGTACTTGTCTCATATATGACATTCAAAATAGTGGTTGAACATGGGATTGCTGGAGAACATAAATGTGTGAGTTTTCTCATTTCAACACCCCCTCGTCTGTATGGATTGGTCAGTGACCTTCTCTCTCGATGTACACCTCTCAAACAGTTTCAAAGCACCCACATACAAGCCTGCGAGAGAGTTATTCTTAAGATAAGTGCATTTGTTGGTGAACCACATCAAAGTACAGAGGGATGTCTTAGCGAGCAAAGGCAGTGGAACTCGAACCAAGCCTTTGATCACCCCAGGCACTCTGATCATTAAAATATTGGATAAATAATTGATTAAAAACACCAGACCTCATTGTGCTCTGCTTCTGTATCCCAATTTTTAGACACTGTGGCTGCACATTAAAAGAGTGAATGCAGGTAAGAGAGAAAGGAACCAATACACAATGTAGCATTGTATGACATGTTTGGCCATTTATACAAAAAATATTTTGATATTCTTGTAGAGTGTAAAGCAAATCCTGACTACAGTGCAGTCTTTCAGTTCTCCAGCACTTTGTTCATGTATGAACTGCAGACAGGTTGAAGTGCAGCAACAAGCCGTTTCCTCCAGTGAGAGTCTTAACTATGGGATAGCAGGCTAGCACAGAAGTAGAAGGACTGTGTAATAATCAAACGGCATAGTCAGAAGCCAGGTAAGAGTGCATTCCAGCTGCGCTTAGGTGATATGAGAGAAGCTAATATTACAACTGCAGTGCAATCTAACTCTGCAGTGCAATCTAGCAAGAGAAACACAATGCGCCTGCTGTGTGCATATCAAGGATATTAAAAAGACAATTTTCCATCAGCTTTGGTGCATATGCTTGTAAATCAATTTCCCTAGGTGCATTTAAGTTAACATTAAGAGGACAAACATTAATTACAGTAGAATGAAGATTTATTCCTGGACCAACACAGGACAACAGGCCATCAGATTCTTTGTATATCATTGAAGAAGCTTCAAACATGTTCTGATAGATTTTTCTTTCTCACTTTCGAACTCACATGTTGTGAGTTATGTGGAATGTTCACTATGGGTAATGTGCAGTATAAGTTGTTTGTGTTTTAAATGGCAAGTGCTTCTCTTAATAAAATTGGATTGTTGGTTGTTTTTCATTGGTTTTTTGTTGGGACACAAAGTAAATTTTATTGTGTCATATCCTGTTGTACTGCAGTATATTGTATCATATTGTATCATATCACATTGCATGGTATCATATCGTGTCATTGTCAACAATTGAAACAGAACTTGGGTTTGTAACTTGTACTTTCTGTAATGTAAAACTTGTCATTAAAGTAATTTTAATGCTTGAAACAAAAGTAACATTTCCCAGTGTTGATCTCTGTGAAAGTATTCATCATACGGGGTTAGAAGACAATTGCAATCAGGGCAAAACTATTTTCTGTATAACCTGAGGTTAATTTTATGAATTGAAGCATTGGTTACATCCTTCACAAAATTCAGGCACAATTAAAAACACAGAAGCACAGTGGGCAGCTATCAAAACTAATTAGTGCCGAAACCAAATAGCCAGCAGTGTTGTTTTCATAGACAGACATCTTTGGGAAATAAAAACAAATCAAAAAACTACCTCTGGATTGCCAATGTTTTTTTATTTTTATTTTTTTATTTATTTATTTACAGATGTTCTGATGTGGTTCTCTCCTGACCTCTGTGAGTTCATTGACACAAAGGTCCCTTAACAGGAGGTTACATCAATGAACTTAAAAAAAAAGTTGTAATATTTTTAGTGAATGCAGCTGGTGTCAAAATGTTCTGCTGGCTTTAAAGAAAATATTCCCTTATAATCAGGGAAGGGAATAAGAAAAACACACGCACTTTGTTCTTGTCCACACTGAACGGCTGAACCCTGCAAACTGAGTGATTGGACAGTTTCACCATACAAAGCTTTGTTCCTCCCGTTGGCAATCAGTTCAAAGTAGTGAAAAAGATGGCGTCTCAAGACGCCTTGCTGCAGTTTGTGAAAATAATGTTAAAGACTTTATGATGTGATAACTTCAAGCTACACTGAAAGCCTTAAAACCCCCCTCATCCCTGGGGTCTCCATGTTCCTAATAGTTTAACACTAATGAGATCTGCTGCTCCCATCTCTCCAGCCTCCCACATCACAGTTTATTTCATAGTGTAAATACCTTTGAAGGTGGTGTGAAGCGCACAGCCAGGCAAAGAGACAGGAAGCATGCTAGCTAGCCACAGTCTCTCCAGCTGCCAAAGCCCGTCCTTGCGCATTTCACATGTGTTGAGACTCAGGGGTTCATTGGTGGAGCTTGTTTAAAGTGTGCTGCAGTTCAGCTAGTTTCTCTGCATGAAGCCTGTGGAAATACTGGTCAGGCAAGACTTGTCAGGACTGCAAAGTATTCCAGAAATGT